GGCCAAAAGAAGTTCCTTAAGAGGGTCAGATCCTGGGCTATACTAGTGACTGCCCCCTGAAAACATCACATCATCATTCCTATAGCGGAATGTTGGATATACTTTGGGCCAGAGGTGTCGAACTCATTTGTTACAAGGGCCAGATCCGACATAAACGTCACTTTGCTGAGTCGCACCATGTGTGCCATAAAATGCAACATGAGGTACCAGAGATATAAACTTTATAAAGATGATTTCAGATGCCAAATGGCAATAGGCTTGATTGGATTAGGTGTGCTATGTAGAAGGGTGGTAGGCATGGAGATATCATCACTGGTAATGAGATGGGAAACCTAGGTCTCAGTTTGGTCCAGGAGCATTCAATCCAGGAGGATGCAAAGAATAAAAGGACATCTGAAGAAGTGAGCAGTGACTTATGAAAGCTCATACCTTGCCACAAATTTTGCTACTGGACTCTTACTCTTTCTACAGCTATAAGAAACCACAACATTAAAAAAACAGTGGGGGGACATTTTAGCCTTCCAGGGGATTCAGTTGCTGACCTAAGAGTAGCAGTTCTCTTACGAAGGCATTTCAAAGGAAGATTAGAGAGACTGATGAAGTGCAACTGATAATGAAGCTCAATGCATCCTCCTCCACTGAATTGAGACCTCGCTTACTTCTCTCATTACCAATGGCTGCTATTGTTATTTGGCATCTGAAATCACTTCACCCTCCAAGATACAAGGACCAATGGACTCACATTCTAGCTGTATCTCAAGTAGGGAGCCGTGACTCCTGAAAGCTCCTGCCCAGCCACAAATTTTGTTAGCCATTAAGGTGCTACTGGACTCTTGCTCCCTTCCACTAATAAAGATTGCAAGCTGTGCTGTTAGGTTTCTTTTATTATTTTTCCCATCTGTTAGAACTGGAAAGGGGGATCTCTCCAAGTGAAATAGTGTGTTGCTTTCAGACTGGACAAAATCCACTCACTGTTAGTCCTTAAGGTGCTATTGGACTCTTGTCCCTTCCACTAACAAAGACTGCAAGCTGTGGTTTCTTTTATTATTATGTTTTCATCTGTTAGAACTGGAAAAGGGGATTGCTCCAAGTGGAAATAATGTGTTGCTTTCAGACTAGACAAAATCCACTCACTGCTAGTGATGATAATAAAAAGTTTAAAAAGGGGGGGTGCTTAATGTGAAGAAAGACAGCCAATGAGTTTAAAGGGGGGGGGGGGGGGGGTTAATGTGAAGAAAGTGAGGTGGGAGGATAGAGAGGGAGACCACATGTTGCACTGGTATATATGGAACTATAAATGTATTTTTAAATACTTAGCCATCTGCTTCCATGGAATCCAATCCAAGGGTTGTAATTCATAACCAGGGTCTTTTTAAAAAGAAAATCCCAGATAGGCAAAGACAAACCTAATCTGTTTTTTAAAACCCTTTTCAGAATGAGTCAAAATAATTTCCCCTTAATTCCCATTATTCCAGATGCATCTCTTTTCTGCCCCCTTCCTTTTCTAACATTTGTGTTTGTGTGTGCGAGAGAGAGAGAGAGAGAGAGAGATCAGGTCTCACAGTAAACAGCAGAGCAGGCTTGTGAGAAGAATCTTTCTTCCCCCCCCCCTTGTCCCCTCTCCCTCTCCCTATGCATGCACAGGCAAGCTTATACCTAGAATAAAACTTTGTTGCTCCTGAAGGTGCCATTGGACTCCCTCTCCAAACGAGGGAAGAGAGCCTAGGCACTGCAGCAGCAGCCCCACAGGAGGAAGCAGAAGGGAGCTTTTCACTGCTGCACACATGTGTACTCTCTTTTTCCTTCCCCCTTGATTTCCTAAAGGAAAAAGAGAGCCTAGGCATTGCAGCACCAGCCCCAGAGGAGGAAGCAGAAGGGAGCTTTTTTCCTGCTGCGCACACGTGCATTCTCTTTTTCCTTCCCCCTCACTTCCCTAAGGAGGAAGAGAGGCTTTGGTGATGCAGCAGCAGTCATGGCCGGGAAATGGAAGCACTTGCTCATGGGCCGTATACCAGCCCTGCAGGGGCCGCATGATTGACACCCCTGCTTTAGGCACTGCAGAGAAGCTGTGCAATAGCCCCACCCCTATCTCCGTGGGAAAAGTACAGCTTGATATAACAATATGTGCCCCCAACCATATGGGCTGAATTAGTGGCTACTAAGAGGAGGAGGAGGAGGAGGAGGAGGAGGAGGAGGAGAAGAAGAAGAAGAAGAGATTCGATTTATACACTGCCCTTCACTCAGAGTCTCAGAGCGGCTTGCAAACTCCCCTCCGCACACTTAACCACTACACCAAACTGGCTCTTGAGAATATAGTCTTGAGTACATTCTTTAACCAAACCTATGCTGGAAAAATTCAAGAAATTAAGCAGAGTATGAATTATACAGTTCAGGTTCTGTATAAGTTTAATACACAGAAATAGATAATAGGTGGTGGAAAGTCCGACCTTTCTAGAATACTGCTTAACTAGGTATGGATCAAGATGGCTAACCATGTTAAAGTAAGAGTCCAGTAGAACCTTAAAGACTAACGAAATTTGTGGCAGGGTAGGAGTGTTCATGAGTCACGGCTCACTTCTTCAGATAACTGGGTATGAGAAGACAGGAACTTTTCTTCTCTACATATCAGATCCACATTTAATCCAGAGACCCATCAACACAACATATTAGAAGAAGAAGAGATTGGATTTATACCCCGCCCTTCACTACCCAAAGGTGTCTCAGAGCGGCTTACAAACTCCTTTCCCTCCCCCTCCCCACAACAGGCACCCAGTGAGGTAGGCGGGGCTGAGAGAGCTCTTGACAGAAACTGCTCTTTTTCAAGAACAGCTGTGCCAGAACTATGGCTTGCCCAAGGTCATCCAGCCAGGTGTAAGTGGAGCAGTGGGGGATCAAACCCGGTTCTCCCAGATTAGAGTCCGCGCACTTAACCACTACACCAAACTGGCTTTCAGTTACACCCTGCATAACATCTACATCAAACTGCTGGGAGAGATCATCCATGGATTTGGAGTCAGAAGCCACCAATACGTAGATCTCCTTAACAGATGAGTCAGGTGGGTCATGGAAATCCTGAACAGTCGCCTGGAGAAGACAATCAGATGGATGAGGGCCAATAAACTGAAGCTCAGTCCATGATGAAACTACCTGAGGACTCAGGTGTCAGCCCGTCCTGGAAGGACTGCACTCCCCCTGAAGGAGCTGATGGCTGCTCGATACTGGCTGTGGGATGCTCAGGTCCTTTCCATGGCACACGGTGCCTTTTGCCGGCTTTGGATGGAATCCCAGCAACAGCCATTCCCTGGAAAGTGTAGGTCATGGTAATCCATGCTCTGATCTTTGAAGTTATTCTCCAGTATCCTGAAGATCCCCAAACCGTATCACACATCCAGGCCGAGAAGGTTCGAGGGGCGAGGGGGTCTTTCCTTCTTTCCTTCTTTCCTTCTTTCCTTCTTTCCTTCTTTCCTTCTTTCCTTCTTTCCTTCCTTCCTTCCTTCCTTCCTTCCTTCCTTCCTTCTTTTTGCTGTCGAGTTGCAGTTAACTTTTGGCAACCCCATAGGGTTTTCAAAGCAAGAAGCGAATTCGGTATGCTATCAGCAGCCAGTGCAATGCCTTCAGCACAGGCTGGATGTGCTTCTGCATAGGGAAGCCCATCAAAAGCTTAGCCGCATTTTGCACCAGCTGCAGCTTCCGGATCTGGGACAAGAGCAGCCCCATGTAGAGAGCATTACAGTAGTTCAATCTCGAGGTGACCATTGCATGGATCACTGTTGCTAGGTGATTGCATTTGAGGAAGGGAACCAACTGCCTAATCAGCCGCAGATGGTAAAAGGCTGCCTTGGCAGTGCCTGCTACCTGGGCCGCCATTGTTTTTTTGTTTGTTTTTTGCATCCCCCTGGGGGGAGGTTTTTACTGGATTTTTTAAAGACTACAAAACTACAACAGTTTATTTATTTAGTTAGTTAGTTATTTGCTTGACTTCTATCCCGTCCTTCTCACAAGCGGGCTCAGGGCAGGTAACCACCACAGACCACATCCAACTTTTAAAGCAAATTATATAAGCAATAACAGTTAAAACAGTTAAAACGAGAAAATACCGATCTAGTTAGCAGCAATTCATGGATCTAGTGACGTTAAAAAACAAGCAACAGAAACAGGAAACCCACCAGCCAAAGGTGCGATGGCAGGTCTTTCACATGGGCAGATTTCACAGGGCAAGTTCTCGGCAGGGGAGGCCAAATAATTGCTCAAAGCCCATGGGAGGAAGAACCCTTCCCACCACCCGCGGGGGACATGGATCTCCCGGGGCCTCCATGCGAGACAAGAGGGCAGTGGTAGGAGCCCAGGCGGCCCCTGGCCTCATGCCGGGACCAAAGCTGCTCCCCAAAAAGCCTTTGGCTGTGACAGAGCACAGACACTGCGGATGCCTTTTTTTATCAGAGATACCCAGCATCACTAACAGCAGCAGCTTGCAGGGGCAGTCTTCAACAGGAAACAGAACGTTTGAAAGGTTAAGGAGACCATTGCCTCACCACCACAGCCACCTGCTCTTTGACCCGCAGGCCCAGAGGCTGCGCTGTGCAAGACACAAAGCCTTCTGAAAGAAGGACCCCAGAACGACCTGTGACGTCCAGTGCTGCCTTCAGCAACACTCAGCCAAACAGGGGTGCAGGTACAGGCTGATCTACCAGTGCTCACAGCACAGTGCCTGGAGGAATTTGCAGACTGTTTCACTGATTTATGAACTCAAGACAGGCATTCCAGAATGGGCTCGAGTCAATATCCAGTAGCATCAAAAATATTACCTTCACCATCACAGCCCATTTGTCTGGAATCTTGATATCAAATCAAAACTCAGATCAAGGTGCAATTGCTTTCGGAACAGGGGACAAAGCACTTGCATACATTAGACATCAAACTACTTTGACACGTCCGGGGGGAGGAACCTGGTACATGACCAAACCAATGAAAGAACTAGCCAGCTGCTGCATCTTTGTTACCTGGACAAATTATCCTTGTGTTAAGCACTGGCAGGTTTTCTTTGCTGGCTGTGCAGGCCGGAGCAGAAAGTGTGCTTGCATGGGAAGAAATACGACTTCTCTGTCCATCTGGAGATCTGGAGGCAGTTTTCACTGTTTAGAGGGCGCAGAAAAGAAGAGCGGATGAACAACATACAGGTTCCTAAATACAGATAAACACAGAAAGCTTTTATGACCGTGTTACTGGTTTCATGCACTGATCGTCCAAAGTTTATTCAGAAGTGTTTTATATACTCCTCCCATGAGGAAGAGGGTGACTTCACATGCTTGAATCTTACTTTACTTTGACCGATTCCAGGAAGATTACGAATGAATGAGAGGTCAAGAATCTATTTATTTTCTTGATTTACTTCACTTCAGGGCCTGCCTTCCTCCCTGAACGGGGACCCAAAGCAGCTTGCATTGTTCTCCTCTCCTTCATCTTATCCTCACAACAACCCCATGAGGTGGGCCAGGCCCCAGGTCACCCAGCGAGCCCCCCAGGGCAGGGGGGGGATTTGAACCTGGGCCCCCCAGATCCTAGTTTGAACTAGAATCTACAAGAAGACAGGATGTGTGCTGGTGCAAATTGGAACAAAACTGTACAAATGAAGCAGAGTGATTTGTTAGAAGAAATCCTTGAAAGCAAATATTACGCTGGATGTAAAATACCGCGAATGAGCAGAGGCCACAGAACAGGATTCCCTCTCCCGCTGCAGTGCACCAAGCCCTTCCTAGAGCTCAGGGGACCCTGACAAACAGCTGGGGGGTGAAGCTGAAGTCAGGGTTTCCAGGTTGGGGTGGGGTGGGGTAGCATAAACTGCCCCCCCCTGCAAGAGTGCCTTTTGAGTCAGTTCACGGTTCAGTAACTGTCACCGTCCGATTTCAAATGGATATGCAAGAGTTTGTTTTCTGAATACTTACTTGGGTGAGATTCAATTTCCTTTGTGTCTTCTTCTTTTTCTTCATCTTTGGACTCATCCAGTTCCTTGCTATATTCTGTTGGGGTCTGATTTACTTGCTCTTCTGTGTGGGCATTCTGCTCATCCACAACTACAAAAACGGAGGGATGTGCAAGCACACAGACGGTTACCCCTTCCAACCAAATGGACTGGTAAGACTAAGCAAAGCTTTATCTATGCAAGGGGGGGGGGGAACATGCACAATTTACCTACTACCTCTCCCCAGAATTTCAGGGTGGGCTTGTGCACTCAGTTTTCATTGAAAAATATCACAACCAAGTTTGAGTCCAGTGGAACCTTAAGACCAACAAAGTTTAATTCTGGGTATATTCTTTGTTGGTCTTAAAGGTGCCACTGGATTCAAACTTTGTTTTGTTGCTTCAAGCCAACACAGCTACCCACCTGAAAAAATCTTGTGTGAGTCAGAAATGCTTATATTCCTCCTGTGTGCATTTGTTGTTATTATAGAGCTAACTTGTGGTAAAAGAAGAGTAACTTTATTTTAATGATCCTTTACTTTAATGATACTGCTCATTTAGCCTACGGGCCTTGAGCCATGTCAAACTAAATACAACAAAAAATAAATACTTTAAATAGCCAAGCAGTTACTGCACTTGAGGTCCTTTGAATTTAATTATGTGAGCAAAAAATCTGGCTACAGCCACTGTAGCTCCTAAATCCATGCCTGCCTAATCTGATAAAAGTATCAGCCAAAGCACTATTTCCTTTTCAAGAGGACGGCATCTCCCATTCAAATGAGAAGTGTGATCTACCAGAAAATCTGTCATGCCACCTCTTGGCAAACATCCCTAACTCTGCTGAAACTGCTTTGATGCAAGCCCACAGAAAAGTGATCTCAGTTTTCAGAAACTGCCACAAAGTGGATTGTGTATGTTAAAAACCACAGAATTTTGAATAATGCAAATATATTTTCTCCATGAGAATGAAACTCTTTCTCTCTTTCTGTACTTCTTCACACAACACACAACACTCAGTCACTGAGGCCCACTGCAGCAGAATACAGAAGCCATCAGCTATCAAAGGGGTTAAGAGATATTTATGGAAGCCAGTTCTATCCGTGGCTATTGGCCCAGAGGGCAAAACAGAACTCAGTATTCGAAGGTAGTCGGACTCTGAATACTAGGCACAGGGGACTACCACCGGGTGGGGTGGGGGGTCTTTGCTTGGGAGCTTCCTGGAGCATGTTAACTGGCTCCTGTGGAAAACAAGAGGTTGGATTAGATGATCCAACCCAGCCAGGGTCTTCTTAGGTATTGTATTTAAATATATATATATCTCAAATACACAAGGTTACCAAATTTACATCCTGCCTGACATCTTATTCTTGACACCCAACAACCTCGAAGCAGCTGCCAAATATTTATCACTTTTATCATATATTATCACTACTTATTAGATTAATATTCTACATTCACTAGTTCTTTTTTTAATGCACACAACAAACGTGTTCCCAGTTCCACAGGGAGAATCAGACTGCCAGCTACAGAGAAAAGAAAGCCAGACACCTTGCCTTCATACGGCTTGGTCATTATCAAGGGAGACGTGAGATTCAGCTTTAGGCCCACGGCTACATAGAACAGAGAGAGTGTAAAATGCCACAAATACGAGCAAAGGTTTTCACTGTTTTCTGAGAAGAAGGCGTAGGCTGTATTAAATGAAAACGGGACATCATAAGTGACCGAAGAAGGAAGCGGTGCCACCCCCACCCCGAGAGGCCTCCCAGTCCCCCACCTTTCTCCGCTTGCTCAATCAGCTGCCTGAGGGCTTTCTTCAAGCTGTTTGCTCTGAGCATCAGCTGTTCCCGCGGCTTGAAGATGGGCAGGGCGGGAGCTGCTCTGCTGTTCTCTCTCAACGGGTCCTTGGCATCTGATGAAGACTCTTCGCTGGACGACTCCTCGCCTTCTTTCTCCGCGATGGAGGAGGTGACCAGGGGCCGCACCGGAGCAGCCCGGGCTTCCGCGTGGAGGGCCTGAAGCAACAGGTGGAGCTTCTCGTTCAGTTCCGAACACTGAGAGGGCCACAGACAAACAACCGGGACAGAAGCGCCTGTGAGTAAGGACTCTTTAACAACTGGCACTGTGAGGAGAACCTCAATGAACTCACAGCTTCCTTAAAGGAGGAGGTGCTCAGCCTTGCCAGGCCTGCTGGCCCTTCCAAGGAAGACGTCATTTCAGTTCCAGGGCAGCAACAGCTCCCCTCAGACACTGGAGGCCTGAAGACCTGACAGCCCCCTTGCAAGTACTGAGTTGCCCTGAGAACGAGAGGCAGAGGGAGCAGGGGGGGGGGGGGGGTTCCCTCATGCATCTTTGCCTGTGCTGCTTTTGATAAGCGATGTGGGAGATGTGCAGAAGGTGGCCCACCCACAGGACGGGCAGGGCAGGGCACGGACTGGGGAGGGGCAGCACCTCCTCAGGACAGTGGAAGCCTCTGCGAGAGACCGGCACCTGCCCTGCCCACCGAGTGGAGAGGGGGGCCCAACCCCACACATGGGTGCCCTCCCTCCCTCCCTCCCTCCACGGAGAGCCCCCTGCATCACTCGACCCCTCGTTTCTTTCCAATCCCTCCTCAGACTCCACCTTTTCCGCATAGGTCCTTGGGCACAATCTCTTGCCTGACTGAAATTAACATAATCTTGGGTCACTGGGAATAAAGACACGCCCTCCCCCTTGTTTCTACCCAGCTCCCTCTCCTCCTCAGCTGTTCCCCTAAGGTCAAATTTTAAATGGGAAGGTCACCTTATATTCTACAAAGCACCCTGCACATGGATGTACACAACAACCACAGCAACGATCAGTCAAAACCCAGACTTAGGAGCCACGGTGGCTTCTGGAGTCCTCTCCTGGGGGAATTGCTGCAGGGCACCGTGGCCACGGATCTGCACTCTTTGCTCTCCCCCCCTACCTGGCAGAAGGGCTAGACTGGGGCCCAGCAGCAGCAGCAGCAGCAACAAAACCACAATGCAGCCTCCGTGGTTTCAGCTGGAGAGTGAGGAAGAGCCCAAATTTAATCCCCTTCTCTGTAAGTCAATGGAAGCTGTGAGATCTATTACTACACTATACCAATAAAGTACAGGTCTCCTGGAATATCTCAGCATAACAACAGATGAGAGAAATGGGGGAACTGAAAGGGGGGGGCGGGGAACTGACATCTCGGTGCTTACTTTCATGGCCATAGCATCAGCTTCTGTGTTTTCCATTGGCCGCTCACAGGTCTTTCCTATTTTGGCAACAAAGCCTTTTACGGTTTCACATAATATCCTTTTGTGAATGAGACAGGAGTGCCAAAGCAAACAGAAAGGGAATGGATGCAGCTGAAACATTAATTCTGTATGCACTGTATAAAACATAACATAGTTTAGCCAGTCTAATGAAAACCCAGTAAGAGAGCAATCATCATGCATTCATATTTCACTGCTGATATGAAGAGGCCCTTGCGCTTCTCGCCCTCCCCCCCCCACCGTGGCCCCTTTCTCCACTGCCTTGCAGGTCACAGAACCCTCCTCATCTCCCAATTGCTTCTCCCTACCATGTAGAGCTGCAGCCTATCCCAACCCAACCCTTTGCTGGGATAAAAAAACAGCACATGGGAGTAAGTCACGCCTACAGGAGCGAAGACCACCGACACCACCACCCCCTCCCGCCTCCGCCCCCCCCCTCCCCCCCCCCCCCCCCCCCCGAGAAACAGAAAGTAGGCAGCAGCATGACGGGATCCGTGCTTGTGGCAGAGTAATAAGGTGAGCTCTTCATGGTAGGCCCACTTGAGCCCAAGGTCCAACTCATGGAAGCCAGAGGAAGACAAGAAGGCACCTCACTACTTTCACCAAAGGAAATCTGGAAGCGGCAGGGCTACTATTTTATCCTAGTCACCTTCTAGGATGAACAAAAACACAGCCATTGTAGAATTACCCTTAGCAAACCTAATGCTGATCTGGATGTTACTTACAACAAGGGGTGATGAGACAAGTAAAAAAAAAATATTCTTGCATACATTCTATAGTGGATGCTAACCACATTTTTTGTACAACAAATTCAGAGTCCAATGCCACCTTTAAGACCAACAAAGGTTCATTCAAGGCATGAACTTTTGTATGCATGCACACTTTATAACATTTTTTGTTATACACCATACTTATGTATTAAATTTATTCAGCTTACTTGGCAGATGATATGACAACTGAGTGCTGATCAGAGTCAAGTATCTTAGCAAGATGAGCAGCAATGGAATCCTCATATGCAGACATCTAAAAACAAAGCACACGTGTTCATGGTAATTGTAAAAGAGTGGACTCACAAGCCAGTGTTCCTTTGTGTTCCCAGGAAGTCGGAAAGCCCCATGGCTGTCCCACCATCAACACCCCTCCGCATTACTCCATGCGTGCGTGTGTGTTTGAGTTTGTGTGTGTGCCAAAAACCAACAGGGTAGTAACATCAGGAAACAGAAGAGTATCTCCTGCTGGATGGATTTGCACATCTAGTACTCAATATCTGTTATTGCCAGTTTAAGACTCTGCTTAGTTCCCACTTTGCTCCTCCTAAAATCTAGCACAGGGATGACTTACAACACTTTCACAATTTTCTGCTATCATGCTCAAGGGATGACAAGCTTACCCACAGTTTCTCAAGAACAAGTCATGTCAGACTACATCTATCTATCTCTCTTTTTTTTTTTTTTGACAAAGCTACTACCTTGCTGAATCAGGGAAATTCTGTAGACATAGTTTAACTTGATTTCAGTAAGGTTTTTGATAAGGTTCCACGTAATATACTTGTTGACAAATTGGAAAAATGCGGTTTGGATCCTATGACTGTTAGGTGGATCTGGAACTGGTTGACAGATTCCACCCAAAGAGTGCTTGTGAATGGTTCCTCATCTTCTTGGAGAGGAGTGACAGGTGGAGTGCCTCAAAGATCTGTCCTGGGACCTGTTTTGTTCAACATCTTTATCAGTGATTTGGATGAAGGGATAGAGGGAATGCTTATTAAATTTGCAGATGATACTAAATGGGGAGGGGTAGCAAATAACGGTAGAAGACAGAGTCAGGATACAGGATGATCTTGACAGGCTGCAAAACTGGGCCGAAACAAATAAAATTAATTTCAATGGGGATAAATGTAAAGTTCTGCATTTAGGTAGGAAAAATCCAATGCATAATTATAGGATGGAGGAGACTTGTCTTCACTGTAGTATGTGCTAAAAGGATCTAGGGGTGTCAGTAGACCATACACTGAATATGAGTTAGCAGTGTGATGCGGTAGCTAAAAAGGGAAATGCGATTTTGGCCTGTATGAACGAAGTCCAGATCATGCAAAGTGATGGTACCACTTTACTCTGCTCTGATTAGACCTCACCTAGAGTATTGTGTTCAGTTTTGGGCATCACAATTTAAGAAGGATATAGACAAGCTGGAACGTGTCCAGAGGACGGCAATGAAGATGGTGAGGGGTCTGGATACAGGTCCTATGAGGAAAGGCTGAAGGAGCTGGGTATATTTAGCCTGGAGAGGAGACGACTGAGAGATGATATGATAACCAAGTACTTGAAGGGCTGTCATATAGAGGATAGTGTGGAGTTGTTTTCTGATGCCCCAGAAGGTTGGACCAGAACCAGCGGGTTGAAATTAGATCAGAATAGTTTTCGTCTAAACATCAGGAAGAACTTCCTGACAATTAGAATGGGTTCCTCAGTGGAACGGGCTTCCTCAGGAGGTGGTGGGCTCTCCTTCTTTGGAGGTTTTCAAAGAGAGGCTAGATGGCCATCTGACAGCAATGTTGATTGTGTGAACTGAGGCAGATCATGAGAAGGGAGGGCAGGAAGGGTTGCCTCAGTGCTTAGTTCTGGTGGCCCTTTCTTACGCGCCCGGGGAAATGCTGATGGCCACTTTGGGGTCAGGGAGCAATTTTTCTCCAGGCCAGTTTGGCCGGGGATCCTGGAGGGGTCCGACAACAATCGGAGGACAAAGTAACATTTATTTATTTTTTAGGAAGAAGAAAGGGTAAAATAAAAAAGATGAGAGAAGGAAATCGAGCAAAAAACTGAGGAGAAAAACTTCCCCTCACACAGAAGTTCCCAGACTGGAGCAGATCGACTGATCAACGCAGAGGTCACAAGAGAACTGGCGGGATGCTGGGGCTCCGCCCTCTGGGCATGCGTGATGGAGGCACGCGCATGCCCAAGGGAGGGGGCCCCAAATCTCTTTCGAGCTTTCTAGAAGTTTCCTGGATTGGGGTCGACACAGGCACCATTCCCATAGGTGTGATGCATAGAGACTGCGACGAAGATCACAGTATTACAGAATAAAATGTTAGATTTCCAATTTCTATCAGAGAGAAGATTGGATCAAGTGCTGGAAAGAAAATGGAATTTAATAATATTTAGTGGGACATGGATAAAGGGCCATAAATCTATCAGAACAGATTATATAATTGTATATCATTCAACAGTGAGTAATGTTGTTAGAAACAATAATGTGGAGTTGACTGATTAAATTATGGTTATTTTTTATATATAAACTGTGTATAATTTTCTGTTTTTCTGTTTACGTACAAATTAAAGTGTACCTGTCACTTATTCTCCTAATTTATGAATTCTTGTTTAAAAAACACAAATTTTACCTGACATTCCTCGGTCTCCTCTTCTGGGGTAACAGGAAGAATAGATTGTTTTGATATTAATTTCAGTTCATATGACATTATGCTCCACCTGAAAGAAAAAGCACATGAAACATATCTTTTTAATATTTCCAAATGTTCATATCTATTCTGCCAAATCAATTATATTTGTTTTTTGCGTAAAAATTTTTTACAAAGTACTTCTTTATTCAAAACACCAAACCATAATTCAACCCACGTGAATAAAGTAATGAAGGAAGAAATACAGGCTTACTTACCGGTCCAGCATTTTAGTGCTTGCTCGTTCTAACTTCTCCAGGACCTGAGGAAGTTGTGTTTCATCGTCACATGAGCCCCCCCAGCCAAGGACACGGGCAAGGTCATTCCCTGTACCAAGCGGCAACACTCCCAAATGACACTAAAATTGAATAAGAAATTCTTCTACTGAAGGTTGGGTTAAAAGGTTTAAAACGAATTATAAAATTCATTATAATTCAGAGCTTGTTTTCTTTGCAGCAGCTTAAAAACTAGTCTCACTGCCCCTCCACAATAGAAGAAGCAGCCTGTACTTGCCTGTTTGTGTAAATTAAGCTTATCAATTTCAGACAACACCCAACCAACACTTCCATCTCCTCCACACACAAGGATTCGAAAATTGTCGAACTTCTGAAATAACCGTAAACTGAAAAGAGAATGCATTTTCTGAGTTGAAATCCACAGATAAATTCATGTTTTCATTCCCCAAATATCTGATAAATGATGAAGTTTGTTAAGGGACAAATCTATGTAAAGAGCTTCTCCCCTGGAAGTACGACCATCATCTGCTGGTGGTGTTGTTACAGTCAGGATGACATGATTTTATGGAGTCCTCCTCCCTACTTCCTACTCAACAGGGACATGTCGTCAATCATGGCTTTAAAAGGTCATGTATGAACGGGCCCGAAGCCATCCTAACAAATACAATGATAAAGGGAGAAACAAACACTCCTGCTACTGTATACTTACAGATGGGTCAGCTGAAGGTGCTGAGGCACCGCCAGCACCTACCTCCCATCTTGGGCCCCCCATCTTGGGCACTGGGTGGTGAGATCACCACTCGCACAAGAGGCAGCGATGGACACGAGCGACATCTCTTGCATCCTCCGTTGTGCCCCCCTCCCTCCCAGTATGGTGCCCCAAATTTTATGGAATAAAGTATGATTTAATAGTGCTAAAGCTGCAATAATTCCAACTGAACCCATTAAAAAAAAATCACAGCTCACAGAAAGCAGAGTCTATTTACCCTAAATGAGGTCCTCCATTCATTAAATCAAAGACCTGAGCTGGATTCAGTGACTGTTTGAATCGTCTGAGAAATTTGACTCCCTGATTGTCTCCACTCTTTGAATTAACAAAAACCAAGAGAGGACTGGCACAGGAGGGCGGGCACGTGGCTTTCCAAAACCCTGTAAAGAAAGGAAGGCAACATTATTGATAAGGCGGAGATAGTCCCCCTCCCCTCCTCACTTGGCCAAGAAAGCAGCACCCCATCGAGAAAGTAAATTTGCATGTTTCCTCTTACAGACAACATGGGGGGGGGAACTACTCAGGTATGCCTGGTGGCGGTGGTGGAAAGTGCTGTAAGCTGTGGCTGACGTATGGTGAGACTCCACAGGTCTTCTGGGGTCAACAGAGGTGGCCATTGCGATTGCCTGCCTGGGCACAGGGCCCTCCGCTGAGCCAGCCTGCTGTCCTAGGCCACTTTTACTGACTCTCATCATTCGTTTGACGTCGCGGAGAGTTAGCAGATTATTGCAACAGCTGGTGTTTCTCTCTCTTTCCCCCTCCCTCACTCTTTTTCAAGGGCACATATTGGGTAAAACCTATAGAGTTTTTTTAAACAACTGAAAAAATAATTTAGGTGGATTATTATTCAGGAGCAGCTTGAGAAACAATGAAAAGCTCATTGTGGAGCTGGCCAGGGAGGTAAATCCACTATTACAAAAGTTGGAACACAGAATTCACCAGTGCTATTTAAGAAGGCCAACGAATGCTTGGGCATGCTGTCACAGGATCCTGTTTCCCACTGTAATCACCCAGTTGTTCTAGGAGGCCCACCATAGGATCCAGAGGCTGAGGAATCCTCCCATTTCACACCCACCCACACCAAAAAAACATCTGGCACTCAGAAATACGGCATGGCCGATAGTCATCTAGGGACCTGTTGTTAATCAATTCTATTCCTCCTTTAAAGCTATCTAAGCCACTGGCTATCACTAACATCCCGAGACAGTGACTTCCACAAGTTAACTAAACATTGTATGACAGAAGACTTCCTGGTCTGAATCTACTGCCTATCTACTTAGTTAGGTACCCCCCACCCCCACCACCAAGTTCTAGTACTTGGGGAGAGGGAGGAACAGTTTTCTCTGCAATTTCTCTGCACCACACATCGTGATCTACATTGTTTACTTTCTTATTTTTTTTTAATCAAATTTATACCCTGCCCTCCCCACCGAAGCAGGCTCAGGGTGGCTTACAGAAATTAAAACACATAAATAACCATTAAAACAATCACAATCCAGATGATTTAAAGTGGTCTGGGAGTATTAATGAGACGGTGTTTGGCGATGGTGGCAGCAGGTTGATGTCCTGTCCTACTGATCTGCTCCTTGTTCTGTTTCTTCTTATGTTGATGACTTTAATGTGAATTTCCTATTATTGGAAGAAAATAAGCCCACCCCCCACTTCTTACAATGGTTTGAGATACTGCATATCCGTCCAGATTAGCATATGTTATAGGAGATGGGTATTAGCTCCACAACTGATAAATGTATTGAAACATGGGTATTCTTTGTGTACGGCTGCGAGAGTTCGACCCTAAGGAAGGCCAAGCACTGAAGAATAGATTCTTTTGAACTATGGTGCTGGAGAAGACTGTTGAGAGTCCCTTGGACTGCAAGAAGATCAAATCAGTCAATCCTGAAAGAAATCAACCCTGACTGTTCCCTGGAAGGCCAGATACTGAAGCTGAAGCTCAAATACTCTGGCCACCCAATGAGAAGGGAGCCCTCTCTGGAGGAAAAGACCCTGATGCCGGGAAAGATTGAAGGTCAAGGAAGAAGGGGACGGCAAAGGATGAGATGGTTAGACAGTGGGGAATGTCAGACAGCCGATATGTTCCGTTTCAGGAACTGTTCACTAACGGTTTCTGAACTGACATTTCAGACAGAACCGTTTTAGTAATGGTTCCCTAACGGAATATATTGACCCTTTCAGACACAAACGCTCCTGTCCTGTTAGGGAAGCGTTCCTGAACCGTTTTACCTGCAAACTGCTTCCAAACGGTCTTCAATTTTCTATACCATTCCTGAAGCGCTAGGGGGTGCTGTGTAAAATGCCCCCATAGCACTTCCTCCAGCGATGAGGTTTTCCTGCCCTTTTTCATACGCACAGGCAATCTCTGTCTTTTTTTAAACCTTCTTTTAAGAGCACTATAGCGCTATAACACAACACCAAAGCAGCACAATAGCGACCCCATTGGAATGCCTGGACCACTGAGATACATGAGATCACTACATCTGGGGAGAACAGGGATTTCAATGGAGTACAATGCCATGGAGTCCTCCTTCCACAGCATTCGCTATATGCCTGGGAACTGATATCTGTAGGCAGGAGATAAGCCATAACTCTGCAATGCTCCCTCTAAGCTGTGGAGTCCTGTGAGCAAAAATTCCACTTTGTGAGCTACTGGCATTAGAACTGTAAGTTATTTGGCTATTGCATAAATTAGTTTGCTCTGGAGCCATCCTTCCTGAGCTAAGACAAAAATGTGTGAGCCGGAGGCTAAAAAACTGTGAGCCAGCTCACACTAACTCAGCTTAGAGGAAACACTCGCTGAAAGTACAGGGGATCCTCAGGTCCCCCCTGGAGGCATGGCATCCCGAAATGCTGGCCATCAAAAGGAGGATGCTGTTTGCAAGCCGGGAAGGAGATAATGTTAAAAAAAAATGCTCTCAAACTGTGCGTTCCCGAGCTTCCACTTCCTATTTTTAAATCCCCCAATCTCATGTATCTCAATGGAGTCCAGGTATTCCAATGGGATCACTATTGTGCTGTTTTGGTATTGTGTTATAGCGCTATAGTGCTCTTAAAAGAACATTTAAAAAAAGACGAAGATGCCAGTTTATGGCGGCGCACTGAGCAGTTGCACCTCCCGGACCTCCCGGGGGTGAAGCTGCGCTCTGGCCGAAGGAGGAGGTGCGCAGGATCGTCACCCCCCCAGAGACCCGGCTGAAGGGGCTCTGGCCATGGGACTCTTGAGGGGTTGCCTCTTCGCCGGCGCAATGCCGGGGAATTGAGGCGCCTCTCCGTCCCGAAGATTCTTCGTGCTATGATACCGAATGGAACCAAGCGACGCTGACCGAGGCAAGTGCAGGAGGTCGAGTGAAAGAAGCAGAGCTTAAATGAGGTCTGAGGACCAACTATGAACGTGAGTTCAATCTAAGCATTTAAATAAAAGGGTGTGGCCTATTATGCTAATGAGTTTCTGCTGGGCTTTTTCTACAAAAACAGCCCTGGCTGAAAGTATAGTTGTACCACACCCAAATAAAAGCTTTTATGGTTCAATCCCTGGCATCTCCAATTCAAGGATCTGGAAGTAGGTGATCTGAAAGACCTCTGGCTCTGGAAAGTTGTGGCCAGTCTGAGTAGACAATATTGACTTTGGCACTTTCTATACTCACTGTAGCTTACTCTGGTGAATCCGAGCAGTTGAGCCTTTAAGGTTAACTTCATTTTATGTCTCCCTGCCCTCTGCACTATTCTTTTATCTCCAGTTTACTTATTTTATTTTATGTATTGCATTTGTATCCTGCCCTTCCCACACACGGGCTCAGAGAATCTGAAGGAGAAGATTGAGTGAATATTGGCCCCAATGACAGAGATGAAGGCGGAATCTTTGCTGAGCGATATGGATGTGGCCTACAGGTCATATTCAGGATATATAAAGAAAAACAATCTGCCTGGGGAAATAGTGATAAAAATCTCGAAGAGATGTGTGAGGGATGCTATCTTGAAAGCGGCATCTGGAGCTCCTTTGAAAGTTGGAGATAATGCTATCAGAATCTTAAAAGACATTCCATTTGAAATAAGACAAAGGAGAAAGAAGTACAAAGATTTAATTCTTTTTCTCCAGACAAACGCAATTGGATACAGATGGCTAACACCAGAAGACATGATCTTCAAAATCAAGGATAAAAAGGAAAAGATTGACTCTGTTCAGAAAGCACGGAAATTTTTGAGAGTCCAGATGGGAGAGCCAGAGGAGGAAGAAAACGAAGGGATGGACAGTAAGTCCAGCGGCAAGCTGGACTCAGGGTCTTTATCAGAGAAAGGGGCAGTCGCCCCTAAAAGTCCTTATAAACTGCGGAAGAGACTGGGCAAGGGGAAATGAAGGCTGAAGGACTCTGAATTGTGACTTTGAAAAACTTTTTTTTTAATATACTAGATGCTTAGGGGTCTTTCGGGTTAACAGTGATAGTTGAGATATGAAAAAGATAATACTATAGTTGAATCAGTTCATAATGGGATCAGCGTGATTGAGAGTTAACGTGTGCCAAGCTAACTAGATGATCTCCTCTCTTGGGTTTTTAGATAGTAGTGGGTATCTTTTCTTTATCCCTTAATGTAGTCCCCTTCCCTATTTCTGTTGTAGTTTGTAGTCTTTATAAAAATGCAATTAAAAAAATCCCCTCCGGCGGGCCAAAGGGAAAAGGAAAAAAAAGACAAAGATCGCCTGCGCTGGCAGAAAAGGGCGGGAAAATAAAGCAGCGCAGTCTGAAATGCCAGACCGCTTCAGAGGCAGCTCCTTACCAGTAGGGGAAAGGCTGTGTGAAATGGCCGCCCCTGTACTGGTTTACTCCAAGACGGTACAATAACGTCTTAAAAATAATAGTAATCCTTCAATTTATTGATCGCTCAATCCTGCAGAGCTTGCTGGCTCTGAGCGATTTACAGTTACTCAATATTACGAGGGAGTAACAATGATTTGTGGGATAGTGGAGGACAGCATATATACATCTTAATTCACACACATTTGCTGCCGATGAGGGTAATCTGAAATTCCCCAATGTTATTGATGCAACAAGCATGAGATTAAGCAAACTCCAGAGGACGATGGAGGACAGGTGGGCCTGGAGTGATGTGGTCCATGGGGTCACGAAGAGTCCGACTCGACTGTGCAACTGAACAACAACACATTCTTTGTGATGTGACTAGAACAGTAATTGTCAAGACAATAAACAACTTTATGTTATTTGTCTTGATGTGTTTACGATGAATCAAGATATACTGATTAGTGATTTTTATTTCTCCTTGTTTATCCTCTTTTTACATCTTGTTCAAATTTGTATATGCATGTTTTTCTTTCTGACTGTGTTTTTATCATAAGTTTTAAAAACCCATTCTGACAACAGCAGTTAAGTTCAGTTTCTACACCTACTTATTCTCCTCTGACCTTGACATAACCAAACTTTAGAATCTATTGGTAAACTATGGCTGTGGTCACACACACTAAACAATCCACTGTCAGTGCACTTTCCAACTGGATTTTACTGTGTGAACTGGCAAAATCCAGTTGGGAGAGTGCATTGTAACTGGATTGAAAGTGGATTATTTAGTGTGTGTGACCGCAATCTATATGTGGTTATGTAATCCAAAGTACTTGTAAAAGGCCTGTTTTTAATCCCTGCAACACCAAAAAATATCCTAAAACAGACTGTATATAAAATGAAATTTATATGATGCCAAATACAATTGAAACCATATTTTATCAAAAAATTTCCTGCAAGTCAACTGATATTAGTTTAATTGTCCTTTTCCTAACCCCAAAAGTCCCAAAGTCATTACCCTTTCATCATAAGGAAGTTTTTCCAGTCCCCTGATTTCTTCTGCATTTTTTGCAGTGCTACAATATCCTTTTTGAGATACAATAACTAGAACTTGTACACAGTTTTCCAAATGTAGCCATTCCATAGGGGAGGAAGTGGAGAAGAACCTACTAGCTGGCTGGCACTAGTTGGGTAAAATCCGTGTCTCTTCTCCGCTCCTCCCAGGTAGTTGAGGCCTGAGAAGGCCCAGATGTACTTCTGGCAAGGGGAAGAAGGATGGAAGAAGACGGCTAGCGGCAGCGGAATAAGATCTGTCTGAGTTTTGTTTCTCTTCTGCTCACAGATGCATGAAGCATTGGACGTGCCCACAGGTGCAACCTGAAGGCCAACAGCCAAAGTGTTGTTAGCCCAAGAGTTGTAGCCTACAACCGGTAGGAAGACCTTCTAGCAGAGAGAGGAAGACTTGCTCTTCATTCAGAAGTCTTTCCCCTCTTCTCCTTTTTGTTTCTTTTGATTTTGTTTTGTATTGCTACTTTGGGTCTCCATTGGGCAGAAAAGTGGGATATAAACAATTAAGCAAATTAATAAAAATAAAGAAACCATAGACTTATGATATTATGGCACTGGCCATTTTATTTTCAACTCCTTTCCTAGCATGAAACTTGCTCCTTTCCTAGCATGAAACATCACCGCCTCACACTGAACCAAGTTATCCACCACAACCCCAAGATCTTTTTCTTGGATAGACCACTGATCTATCTCTATCTATCTAGTACTGCTCATACAGCTATCACCTCAAGCAGAAATCAGAACCAAAGAAAATATGTTAAAAGACCTCACTCAGTATTATTTCTCTTATATTTGATTATTGTGCCTGTGAATTTTGCCACTGAGAGGGCGACACGATCATGGGTATCTGATTGTAGCCACGACACCTGGGCTCACGCACTTAGCAGTTATTTATTTATTTATTTATTTTTAATTTATTTGTTAAATTTATACCCCGCCCTCCCCCGTAGGGCTCAGGGCGGCTTACATAGTATAAAACTTGCTCATAAAAACATCAAATACTTTAGTACAAAAATACAATATACAATTTAAAACCCAAACAAACAATAAAGTGCTCAACTACATAGCATCCATTTCAGAATATCAGAGAGGACAAAACCACAAAAACCAAACATACCCCGGTAGGCATTGCATAGTAGATGTTGAACAGACAGTTCCATGTCTTTAAGTAAAGGGGTGACAAAATTAGCCCTCAACTCATCCAATACAGGGCACTCCAGAATCATATGTTCAATGGTTTCGACTGTATGATATGAGCATCTGCATGTTCTATTAGAGCATGATACTTTACTATATCTGCCCTCCAAAACTGCCAAGGGAAGAACATTCAGTCTTGCCAAAGTAAAAGCTATTCTTAGTTTTGGGACTGGCAATTGATAAAAATATTCTGGTAGTTGCATCGGGAGGGCAATTCCCAAATGAAGTGTCGAACATACCCTGCGCACCCTAATAGGCAGGGCTATTTTTGGGCAGGAACACACAGGAACGGAGTTCCGGCTGGCTCCCAAGTTGGCCACGCCCAGCAGGAACTCATTAGCATAATAGGCCACACCCAACATCAGAAACTTATTCAGATTGGCTACATTAGGGGTGTGTGGCCTAAATAAGTCCTGGGTTTTGACAACAAACAAGGTGAACAGAATAAGAGGCAAAAGGTGGGTGTGGCTGGATGACCTGGTAACATGGGGGTGTGGCCTAATATGCTCATGAGTTGTGTTGTCGGGGGTGGCCTAATATGCTAATGAGTTTCTGCTGTTGGGTGTGGCCTATTATGCTAATGAGTTCCTGCTGGGCTTTTTCTACCAAAAAAGCCCTGCTAATAGGCGTACTTGTAACATCCAATTTCCTTACAGATTTTTAAAATTTGTCTTCTAATGTCTTTAGCCCACTGATTAGTGCATTTGTGAAGTTAACATGTTTTACATGTACTGACATTGAACCTCATTCGCCATGTTTTTGCCCATTCACTCAAACTGCAGTGTTTCTCTTGGAGGTCTTCAGAATCCACTTTAGTTTTCACCATCTGGAATTATTTGGAGTTACATCCTCTGTCATGCACTAACTAACCAACCAACCTCAATTCAAGAAATTCTTGCCCTTACTGTTTTCTTCTTCTGTTTGTATAGGTAGACACGTGTTTATGTCAACTGCTGCTAATAATCCTCCCAGACATTATCTGTTGCCATCAGTACTTTGGTATTTGGCTTATATTGTACAACCGACTCATCTGCATCAGTTCCCACCGGAGCCGGAGGCACGAGGTGAACAGAGGTGGTCTTGCCCTTGCCCTTGCCCTTGCCCTTGCGTAGTGACCCTGGACTTCCTTGGAGGGTCCCCCCTCCGAGGACTGACCGGGGCCGACCCCGCTTAGCTTGTAAGATCTGCTGAGGTCAGGCTCGCCTGGGGCTACCCAGGTCAGGCCCGTTTAGACTTACTGGGCCCGACTGCCCCTCCCCCTTGTTTCTGTGTCTATCTGCTAACAGAATCCACTTCATGTGCCTGACGCTAATTCTTCAATTAATCTGTTAGTCAGTAATGTTCCCACAAGACTCCTTCTCATTTCAATATCAGAATGGTTCATCAGAATTTGTAAAGTGGTATTAATGACTGAATTAACACACTATGTTGGCTCATAGAATTATGTAGATTAGTGTATTGAAAATGGGTAATTTTAAAATAAGTTTTAGAATAACACATTTCAGGGAATTACTCACTACCTGTGATTTTAAGATGTTATACAATGTCATACTCTTACACCACATTTTTACTCTCCTTTTTAAAATTGTTTAGTGTTAACTGATGTGAGGTGGTTGCATTTTGTACTGGGGAGGTGATAATAGTGCAAAGTTACCTGCAAGAGGATCCTGAAAGATAGAATTATTTTAGATGTTGAGGAGTTTGAGAACCATTGCTTAAAACAAATTCACTGCTGTCTGGCTTCTAATTGTACCGATGTTGTTGAATTATGTCTTTATGGTTTCACTGCATTTCTTGCAATTCAACATTTTGTTAGCCGCATTGCATATCTGGAGCAAGTTAGGATATGAATAAATATTTAACTACATGTGATAAAACAACTAAATATTCATTGAAAGATGCAAGTCTACATATCCCTGCAATGTGCCCATAACAAGCCATCCATTTCGGTCCTCATCACTGAAGCCATCTTCATCTTCCTGTTTTATGTCTTTTCACCTTCAAAGCCCAATAACTGCAGGACTGCATTTTTTTTATTTTACTCAATGATGCCTTGATGTTAAGTTCTTAGGAAAGAAAATTATTACGCTGGTGTTACAATTCACAAGCCACCATGAACCGGAAAACTTAATGTGGCTGAATTAGGAACCCTAAGAGGTCAAGTGCCCTTGCGCCCAGTCCTATTTCATTTCTGTCTTGTAGAACACAACACAGCCATATCACAACAAAAAACATCTCCAAGGTCCTACGTACCATCAGAGTCTATGGTGTTCAGTGCTGTAGGAGGAATTATGGATACTTTACATTGGCCGAGTGGACACTTGCGAGGATACAAATCTCGGCAAGCCGTGTGTACCTAGAAACAATTTAATCACGGATTATTAATGTATCCCCCACTATACAATCTAATTTCATGGCAAAAGTTAGAAGCCCAGATACTGTGATACAGTAAGATATTTTCCAAGGACAACAATAAAGTTCTGCACTTGCACAAGTGACGGAGCCCCAGAAGGTCCGCATCACATCTGCTCCAGCCAACAAAACATACAGCAGCCCACAGGCAGGACAGACTTCCAGGCTTTTCTCTCCGCTTGGGATTGCAGCACCCCAGAAGGACGTCCCAGGTTGCTTAGCCATAACTGACGCTTTTTAAGTGACCATCAGATATGACTTTTGCACCTGCACGGAGCTCCCCCTGGGAACATTCTAAAGCAAGAGAACCCTTGATGAGAGTTTTGACTTAGCTGCGCATGCCTCCATGGACAGGATTGGTGCCCTCCCATTCCTTAACAATTGCTAAGAATCCACCAGCCCGCACTGTTGCATGGCTAAACAACATCAGTTACAGGAAAGTAACTGTATTATTTTGCCGTTACTGCACTGGCCCATGTATGCATAACTAGAAAACTGATGTTACCAGTAAGAGAGGACTGCTGCTCTGAAGATGACATCTGGCACTGTGCACCCATCAGTAGCCTCCCCCAAAATTGAAGCTTATACAAATTCAAAAGTGATCCTGCTGAGTAAAGAGGTAATTAAGCTTCTAGTAGGAATTTCTTTCAATCACACTGAACAATTTGCTTTGCAGCTTCAAAGCAAAGAGTATCGGGTTCCACAAACCAAGTGCAGTCTGTGAAGGGAGAGCCAGTCTGGTGTCATGGTTAATCTGGAAGAACCGGGTTTGATTCCCCACTCCTCCTCCACTTGCACCTGGCTGGATGACCTTGGGCAAGGCGTAGTCCTGTCAGAGCTGTTCTCTCAAAAGCAGCCCTTGAAAGAGCTCTCTCAGCCCCGCCTACCTGACAGGGTGTGTCTGTTGTGGGGAGGGGGAAGGGAAAGGCGTTTGTAAGCCGCTCTGAGACTCCGGAGTGAAGGGCCATGGGGTAGGAATCCAATCTCTTCTTCTTCTTCAGATCTCCACAGCAAAGGGATATTTCGTGCACTTCAGAGTGGGGCCCAGGGATAAACAACCAGGTGTCATGAATTTCTGTTGTATGATTTCATTCCCACTACCCTGACAGTTGAGAAACATGATGGGGAATATACATCATTCTGACAGAGACTGGAATTAGGGACTACCTGAGGGGAGAGAAATGCTATAACACCATCTTATCCTTTGGCATGTTAATGACCTGCCTACGGCCAGGAGTGGGAGCGGGTGTGGCCTCCTCAGAGGAGGGGAAGGGGGCTCCTGCCTACCGAGGGCCAGAGGGAGTCGGCAGGACAGCGGGAAGCCTCGGAGCCACTCCCAAGGAAGACTCCCAGCTCCACGGAGCATCAGAATCAGGGAATCGGGAGCCCTCCAACTGGAAAGTTTGCCTCCGGATCCCAAGGAGATTACAGCGAACCTATGATGAAGCCTGGACAAGATGGTGGCGTGCCCATTTCATAGCCTGAGGAATATGCCACCAAACAGCCTCACTCAAGAGGAACAAGCTGAGCATGAAGCATGTCGTCGAAGGCTTGCGCAACGTCAGGTCCCACAATGCCAAGACCACGGCCAGACAGCCCGGGAAATCCACAACAACCAGCGAGCATGAAGGCGCTACAGGATTAGGGCCTCACTCACTAAGAACCCTCAATGGCGCCTGTTTGCTGACCATGAAGCATTTCCCTGATAAACTCTTGCTTCTTCTCTTCCAGCTAACTTGTCCGTACAGCTCTCCTGCCCTGGAGACAAGCCCAGAATACGAGCACCGTGAGCAGCTGATGGGCTGATGAATGCTTCGTTCTCCTCATCTTCCCTGTTGGGTATTCTCAACTAAAGCAGCCTATACCTTGCCTGATCAGGAACAGCACACAGGCACAATAGAGACAGATAATGAAGCACATACAGCTTGCTCACAGATGTGTAGCAGGTGTGCAGCCAAAGGCCAGAGGTTCAAGAGCTGCTGCACCACTGGTGGGAGTAGACTGGGTGCCCTTATTTTAAAAAGGAGAAATCACAACCACATGAGCTGGTCTCAACAGACCCGCTCCATCAAACTTTTAACTCGGAACTGAAGGATATAACGTAAGACAAATTCTGTCAAAGTGGGAAATATTCAAATTACATTTGTCAGAACACCACGGTGAACAGTAATCTTGTGCTCAGACGAGAGTCCAAGAGCCACGGGAAAGGGAAGCCAGTTGGTTTTGCTAGCTGAAGGGATTGGGCGAGCCAGGACTTGGGTCAGCATCTTGGTGCTCTTAAGGCGATATCTGTGCGCTCCTCTGAGTATCAGAGGGAGAGGAAAGACACCCCCGTGGCCTCCTTGGCCTCCTTCTGAATACATCAGCTGGAGTGTGGGCAGGGCAGGGCGACCCCACAGACGGAGAGCACACGGCCTCCCCACGGATGGCTCAGCCTTGTCAGCTACCCCTCAGCAGACCAAGAGTACTGCAGGTTATGCACCAAAATGGCAAAGAGAAAGGCAGACCCCCAAAGGGTTTGCAAGGCTGTGCCCTCCCTCCTGCTTGCAGATACAATCCCTGGTAGGCTACAAATGAAGTAAATGAATAACACTGTTTGTTGTCCACCTTACCAAGGATGAGCAAACAAGGCAAGGGGAGGCCCCTCGCACTGCCAAACTCTGAAAGAAACTATTCTGTGCTTTGTTCAAGTCCCATGAAGAACAAGGCCTCTGCAGTGAGCTCCCAGGGCCCATGACTTTAGGACCCGCTCTTGCCTTATGCCAGCGGGCAAGCAGGTATGAAGCGGTGCCACGGCTGTCAAGTTGCACCTTCTGACCAAGGAAACACACTCCATTCCCGCCTAGAATTAACCTCCAGAAAAGCACTATGAAGTAATAAAAAACACCCCTCACAAAGACAAACACGTAGGAAAGTGCAAAGACCACAGCAGTAGCAGCAGCTCTGAGAACTGAGCAGAAAGACACCTGGCCCTGGCCCCTTCACGTGTGTACAGACCATCAGAGCGCGGCTCCCGAGGAGTCCCTGCGCCCCAGTGGAAGCTCTAGAACGTTCACAGCCACCAGATCTGCTTGTGAGAGTGCACAGAAAACTCAAGGGGAAACCAAGAGGCTGCCACACACCCAGAAATCCCCAATGCATAGTCAGTGGACTGCGTTAAATGTTTTAACTAGCATTTTTCTGATAAATGGGGGGGGGGGAGTTAAAGGTTTCAGTTTTGTATAACCATGTTAAGAAATTTATCAACAAACAAAAGTTGTTCCTGAGACATAAAGCAATAAAAATTATAAATAAAAATGCAATTATATTTGAGAAGAAAACGGGATGTGAAAACAAACTTTAAGTAATGAGAGTGCAAAAATAGTTAAAAATAAGGAGGTGATCCAAGAAGATCCATTGTTTAAAGGTCAAAACTTTGTTTAGGTTCAGCTGGGAATCAATCAAAGAATCAACTGATTAACAGAGGAAGATAATTTTTTACTAATAAAGGTACCTTTGGGGTACCAATGGGGTACCTTTGGTGCCTGCGTCGGAGGTTAGGAGCTTGGGAGTGCTCCTGGACTCCTCCTTGACAATGGAGGCCCAGGTAGCAGCCACTGCCAGGTCTGCATTTTACCATCTGAGGCAGGCTCGGCAGTTGGCCCCTTTCCTCGACCGTGAAGACCTGGCTACAGTGATCCATGCGACGGTCACCTCAAGGCTAGACTACTGTAACGCTCTCTACATGGGGCTGCCTTTGTCGCTGATCCGGAGGCTGCAGCTGGTGCAGAACGCAGCGGCTAGGCTGCTGCTGGGCCTCCCCAGGCGGGAGCACATCAAGCCTGGGTTGAAGGCGCTGCACTGGCTGCCAATAGCATACCGAATCCGCTTCAAAGTGCTGGTACTTACCTTTAAAGCCCTACATGGCCTGGGTCCGACCTACCTGAGGGACCGCCTTTCCCCGTATACACCCCCAAGAGCACTTCGGTCAGGGACCCAGAGCCGTTTAGTGGTTCCGGGTCCCAGAGAGGCACGATATGCTGCAACGAGGGCTAGGTCCTTCTCAGTGGCGGCCCCTACCTGGTGGAATGAGCTCCCGGAAGAGATCAGGGCCCTGCGGGATCTCATGCAATTCCGCAGGGCCTGCAAGACGGAGCTCTTCCACCAGGCTTTTATGTAGGGGCCGCCGCTCCCACCACCACCAACGGTGGAAATACCATCAAGTAGGAGCGCCCCTGATAGCCCGGCGACGAGGTGCACTATGTGAAATTATATGGCAGCAAGATCAGCTGATAAACTTGGACAAATATCGCCGGAACAACTATTATAATATTATCGACAGGGAGTATTCCCTGTAGGTACCAACTGCGGACCATCTTGGAATTTATAGTATTTATAGTATTTTATTATTATTAATGGTATGTCATTATTGTGATTGTGATTTTACTGATTTTATTGTATTTTATGTATGGCTTAGGCCTCTGTAAGCCGCCCTGAGCCCGTTTGCGGGGTAGGGCGGGGTAGAAATACTTGAATAAATAAATAAATAAAGTCCGAGAGTTAAGAAAATACGTCATTTTTGTAAGCTCTTGATTCCATTATATTATTCTAGTACGGAACAAGAAAGAAAATACTAAAAACTGTCCATTTTAAACAGTGAGAGGTAGCTTTACAATACTGACTTCTAGTAATCTAGTAACTTCCTTAAATATTTGATTAAACTGTTGAAACAGTTGATTAATCATTGGCTCATTAGTCAATTCATACCTTTTGTCAAAATCAAAGCTTTCCAAATGAGAGAGACCGTGTATAGGTAGAAAAGAGCAAGAGTTCTCTCTCTCTCTCTCCTCCCCTCCTCCCCTCTGTATTTTAAGAGCAAAGCAGGCTCAGGGAATATAATAGCCAATCTGAACCTACCATAGTTTTACACCAAAGGCATTTCCAATCTTGCAGCCGTAGAACACTGCCACAGGTCTTGTCACAGACTGCACATTTGGCACTGACAGGCAGATTTCCTTCTAGCCACTGGTGAGGCATAGCTACCTGCAGGGAAGGGGTTACAGTCAGGGGGGGGGTTAGGTGCATCACTTCCCTCTACTTTCTTCCAAACTCACACGGCTCCTCCTCGCCCCCTCACAAATAATTTTTGCCACCTTCTGTTTTGGCAGCAGCCCCTCACCCCAAACTGCATGCTCTTCCAGAGAAGCCACACGTCAGATATGAGATGGACCCCAGGTGCCCAGTCCTGGCCATGCGCCATCGACATCCCGAGTATACTTTCACTATAACTTGACCCTCTACATCAACACCCAAGGGAGCAAAGGGTCAGTCCCTAAACTTTAGAGCTGCACACAGGAAGAGAGAAAGCTTTCAAACCAACTCTGGGGAGTCCCTGTAACTTGTCAGCACTTCGGCAGGGAGGCCATGACAGTTTTCACTCCAGTGCCTCATCCACCTTCTAGCCTGGCTACCAGCCTCCTTCCCACTGGTTCTGGGGGCCACTGAATCAGAGCTGGGAAACTCTGCAATAAGAGGGATGTCTTGGCAGCCCTGTCTTCACTGCCTGGAATGCCAAGATGGACAAACCATGAAATATAAATGTAATCAGTAAGTATATGAAACACATTCCCATTCTTCCTCTACAGGACAAACCCAGGCTGCCAAGCGGTCACGAAACCACTGGCCACTTCCCGCAGATGAGGGAGAAGCTGTGGAATGATGAAGTGTTGGCAATGGTTTAACAACTAAAAATGACACTTAGACCGTGCCACCTGCATTTCTGAGAAATACTTACACCATCTTCATCTTCAATAATATCTTTTCCAATCGAAGTCAACGTTGTCCACTTGCAGTTGTTCACTGCCCTAACTGCACATCTTTTGTGAGCCTTAAATTTGCATACTAGAAGAAAACAATCACATATTGCTTACTGAGACATTCCTTGACAATAGCTCTGGCACATTCACATCTTTCAGAAGTATGACCAAAACCAGATCACTGCTTTATCAAGTAATATATATGTGTGTGTGGGAGAGAGAGAAAGAGAAAAACATGGAATCTAGGGTTATGTAGCCAAAGCACAGCGCTTCCACTGCCAGAACGCTCATCTTCATGTGGAGAAATACTGGGGAGAAGCAAGAAGGCTGGCAGACTCACCAGGCAGAGGAAGAGCCTCCCTGTCAGCTAGCTGCCATTGTATCTGAGGTTACCTGCTTCACATGCCTTGTGCTCTTCCCCCCCCCCTTTTGGGTTTAGATTGCTTCATTATGCTTCTCTGTGTTTTGCGGAACTGGCCAAGGTCGTGCAGCTGGTGGGGGGGAGTCGGAGCTTCGCTCAGCTTGTTATGGTTATCTACCCTGTGAACTGAAACTGTGTTGATGGTACTGGACTGTTACATTCCCATGGAATAGGCGCGCGTTTACGAGTTCTATTCCCGCCAGCGGGAACTGGCCTCATTGGCCCAACATGGTCCAAATCCCTCTTATATGCTATGCTTGTGTATTGGTAGTTATTCCTAACAATGTTCTTGTTCCTGTCTGAACCATCGCTTTGAAATAAACCTTGCTTTGATTCAAACGTGGAGTTATTTCGAATGCCTGGGGATCCAACAGTTTGTTAGGAATCTACCTTTCTCTATCATCCCAAATCGGACGGCAGTCATGAGTGGGAAGGAGGAGAAAACACCTGTCACGGAGGTAACTCCGGTTCCGTCTGCTCCCCTAGTCACGACGGCCACCGAAACGCCGGTGACTACATCAGGACTGACAGGGGCCGTTGGGGGAGCGATCCCGCATGGCGCATATTATCCATGGCCGCCGCCTACCCCATCGAAGTGGGGACGGGGAGATGAGGAGCAGTGGGATGACTGGTCTCTGTATGACTCAAAAGGGACTAAAGAGACTTTTTCTCACAGAGGCAGTGCTCTCTGTGAAAGCTTGTTTGACAAAGGGATGTACCCGGGAAGGGATACCGGGCGTCCCGAGAGAACATCTCGACGGGAGGACGAGATGTGGGCAGCCGAGAGGGAACTTAGAAGG